GGGGGTGGGGGATGCGTCCTCAAGGCGACCCGATCGAGGAATGCGTATTGGGGAAGTCTGGGTCCCTCCGCGGTGACCAGGATAGTGTGTGTCGTTCCCACGCGTCTGGACATGAGTGAGAGTTGCCTGCTCTAATTCCAGAGTGCATGACAGAGTGCCTAGACTGAAGAGGGAGTTAATTTCAAACCATGGACAGCGCTTGCCGCAGGAGGCGAAAGCCTCCTGCGGCGATCGGTCGCAAAGTGAGCACGCGTTGCGTTTTCGCGTGGCGAGGAGGAAAGCAGGCGGAAACGTTTGCAGACGATCAAAGATTTCGTCATTTCTCGCAGCTCGCATTGCAAATGCGGCCTAAAAACCACGTGACCTCGATCGAGCAGCTGGAAATTAATACAGGCTACCTAGAAATGATGATGATACTGCGGCTATTCCCCTTTGAAACGGGAGGACTCAAACAAGGTTTGTGCCTTCCCGAGAGCAATACAGCTGAAATACAGCGCCATTTCTCGGCAGGAATGCAAAGCAGCACGGTCTCTAGGCGGGCTCTGTAGTACTCACGTGTGACGCGGTTCTGAGTATTGGGGAGGAGATCGAACAGGCCACGCCACTACCGGTACGCTCCAGCTGTGGGGACAATAAACCGTATTTTCTTGTTGGTTTTTGATCCGAGGAATCGAAGATGACGATTTCAAGGTTGTTCCACGTGCGACTAAAGCACCGGCAGGCCGAAGCGCTCGTGCCCAGATCGTGTTAGGTGAGGTTAAAATATTTTTTATGCTGTGTTAGTAAACACCGGGCTGTGGGGACAAGAACTTCGATAAACCGCCATTTATAGTTCGATCTCCTGCCCAACAGAGGAGGTCGTCGTTTTGACGCGAATCGGTTACCGGAAGTTTGCTCACATGTGGGTGTGTTGCGGCATACGCACCAGCGCCACTCGATCAGAAAAGAACACCTCATCTTGAAAAAGACAAATTTAGGAGCAGCCTGCCGGTGACCAGAAGGAAATGCCTGGGCCGGCTTGCCAGAACAGCGCCTCAGCTGAGAGTGGGGGAAAGAAAGCACTGCAAAGGCTGGGGCACGCGAGCGTCTTGAGACGCAATTTGGGTACCGCTCAGCTCGTGTGTTCGCTTTGGCGTTTTTTTCTTTACCCAATCTCAGCTGAGACGGTGTTTCTAGCCAGCCGGCCCTAGTATTAACGGACAAACAGGCGAGTTCTGTCGTACACTTTATTTCAAAAATGTTAAAGCGCTAAAACATTCACGATACTTTATTTATCCACTCTCAGAAGGTCATCCACAGTACAATAAATATCCGAGTGATCAGTGAAAGGACAAGCGGTGAAAGAAAGGGATAATTTTGGTTTCTAAAACAAACCGTGAACAGCTTATTCGAAGAACACTGCCATCTAAACTTAGCAAGTGGCCGTTGCCTAAAGCGAAGGTACGAAGGTAGGCACCACCAGAGATCCCAAAATGCGACGCCAGAGGTCCTCACGAGGCCGCGCAACTCGAGTGCGTCCGTTATCAGGTACATGCTGTTTTTACTTTTTAATTAAATTAACAAAATCAAAGTAAACTGCAACCGTGGTTTTCCTGTAACGTCTTTTATATTTGCTGTATGGGTATATGGCAGGCACAAAATAACGTTCCTCAAGGCGTATCATTAGGTTGACAAGAAGCCCTCTGGAAGTTTCCGGTCTTGAAAACAGCGTTTCATTTTGATAATGCCGCATTTGCCAAGGATAAAACAAATTTTTGTAGAGAGGAACTTCGGGTTTTTTTTGTAAAATAACAAAACCGTTGAACCGTGTATAAATAAACTTCCAGCCTTTCCACTCTGGTGAGGGAGGAAGAACAGCAGAGCTGTAGAGCCTCTTCATGTTTCAAGAGTAGCGCAAGGTGCGTCGATGCACGAGGCACATGCAACGTGCAGCTCTTGGGAAGATCATGGCGGCACAGCGCAGCATTGAGTACAGAACACTGTAGCACTGAGCTAGATTTTAGACGCCATGAATTCTCCAGAAGTGGCGCGCGGCACGTGCCTCCAGCATTTATACAACAATGAATGGCGCCACTCTTCCCAGGATAGAGGGGCTTTACGGAGCTGTAGAGTGCCTTCATACACACGCGCAACGGAGCTGTACTATATGCCGCCATCTGTGAGCGACGGCGGCAACCAGACAACCGGAAGGGCGGCCGTTTAGTTGCCTCCGTCGCTTATAGACGGCGGTAGCTGTCCAGAGCGTTCTGTGGAGGTTTATTTGTCCACGGACACGAAACTGAGGAAACTAGCCCTTATCAGCTCCGCTGTAAAATATTAATTTCCAACTGTTTACCCAGTACCAGTACTAACTGTGCACAGTGCACAGTTAGTCCACTGCCAGTTTACAACACTGGCAGTGGACTAAAACTGGGGACGGGCCAGCATTATTCCCACGGTAAGTTCATGATACAAAACCTTGTACTTTGTATTACCCTAAGTGCGAAAGACGTCGATGCTAAAGACTATAAATACGAGCATGCAGTCTTGAAGGACTCTTTCACTGCACGAGCGCGCGAGCATAGCAGGTCGATACCAACTAGAAAGGAAAACCTGTGCCTTGTTGACATTTAGCGTTTCCAAACTTGTCTTTTGATTCCTAAAAAAAAAAATACTATAAAGAGGTCCCATGATAAAAACCGGACAAAATATTTCTCGTGGGACTTGACATATTGACAAGGCTTTAACCATCGTGTTCGCAATCTCTTTGAATTGTTCAACTGCAGAAAAAGACAAAAAAGATAAACCAGTATACTACTCAAGGAGAACGAACTATTATGCCACAATTGTGGCGATCAATGATTGACGGGTGATTCACGGAGATCAAGATTTCTATGATTCGCGCTCGACCTGTCAAATGCATAAGTTTCCAAACCAACCATGCTCATTCTGTGCTCGGTTAATCTGATAAGTGACGCATACCGTGGCAAGACAAAAGTAAATTGAGTCTATCTCATTATCACCGGCAGTTGGTTGCACCGATTTCAGTCGGACATTCCTTCACGAGCGAGGGCGAAACAGCCATTTTCCCACGTTCATTCATGAACAAGTAATACATTTTTGCTTCAGATACCACAAAATGGTTAATTCGTCGCAACCTACCTCGAGCTAAGCAATGTAATCGCGACAACATTTCAAGCTTCTAAAAGGTTTTTCTTCAAACTCTTGATTCAAGACGACCGCATGCAAGTGGCGGGCAGGTGTCCCAAAATCAGAAACAACAGGTGAAAAAATATCTCGCTCAATCTCGACCATGCACACGAACGCAGAACGACACCACACGCGGGATGGTAGATGACAAAGATGACACACACCAACATTCACCACGATTACCGGCAAAAAAAAAACAATTACTCTAATAATATTAATCAGGCAAGCATCGTGAAGTTTAAACGTTCGCAAAAAAGCAATAGATTTTTTTTACGTTTTCAAAAAATGAGAAGGCCCTGCCGTTCTCATTCTGCCGGAGGCTATGCGGAGAGCAAGTCGTCTGCTTCCTGCGCAGGGGTTGCGGTGACGTCACAAAAACGCCGAGCTCTGATTGGCTCTGATTGAAGGATAGTGGGTAGACCTCAAAGCAAGCTGCCTTGAGGTCTACCCGCTATCCTTCATTCAGAACCAATCAGAGCTCGGCATTCTGACGTCACCACAACCCCTGCAAAAGAAGCAGACGAACTTGCACTCCGCATAGCGTAGTTTCTGCTGTACCCCAACGCTGTCAAGGCTATTCGCGCGAGCGCGTGGCTTCGTTCAGCGTCCCCTTCGTACGAAAACAGGGTCGAACGAGACGCAAGACGAAGTCCCCTTTTATCGAAACAGCGCTGGGCTACAGCACTGGGAAAGCCACTGTAATTTTGACAACGTAGAACGGAAATGCGCCCTTCGGTATCGTATCATCTACCAGCACAAACGTCTCAAATTAACCTACTAGCTGCCAATTCAGCTAAAACCCACAAAATAAACACAAGATGCTTCGTGCGGGTTGGAATTCATGTTAGCAAGACCCACTCGCGTTTGCAGCTTGTCCTATAACAGCCATTATTTACAATCTCTTTAAGCCAGCAACAGCGCGTGACATTCACATGTTGTTTGCCAGCGCGAGAGAGGTGTCAGTATAGTTGTAATGTGAGTTATATATAAAGAAAAGAAGTAAGCGTGATTTTGTGTTTTGTATTAAACGCGAACAAGTATTACTATTTAACGTCTCCTGCACCAAAGCAGATGCAGATTATAACAAATCCGAAAATGTATAAATGCTGTCATGAGCGCGTCTACTACGACGCTACGTTATAATAAAAGTCTCGCTCCTTGGCATATCTGCCACGCTTAAAGTTGACACTTTTCTTATTGCACACCATCCCTCGCGCCGTTCAGCCGCTTTTCATAGAGAAAGAACGTCAATATCTGTCACACCCTATAAAAAATAGAGACCCAACCAAGCGATGGGTCTCGTTCATCCGACGTACACAAAAGTGGGAAAGGCAGGGAGGACGTTTTATATTGCGGAGTCGAGTGACATTTTTTTTTTCTTCCCTTCATCATTAGCCGACGTACACTGCGGAACTCTGTTAGCGCGAACAGGACTTCGGCGCTTTTTCGTAATTTACTTCGAAAATGGCATAGCGACCGGAATATAGCCCTTATAGGTCAGTACCCCACCTGAGCGCTTTCCACCACTATAGTAGTTTTGTTAAAAGTTTTTCAATGCTGAGACAGAAAAAAAAAAAAAAAAAGGACAGGCGATGACTTGTTTTGCGCTAACAGTAGGCGTTGCGGGGTGTACACTAGACCCTTTTCAAAACTCCATCGAGCAACACTGGCGGTCGCCATTGCCTGGACACGAAGCGCGCGATTGGATACGAGCTCTCGCCGAACCATCGCCGAACGCAGACGTCACCCTCGTGTCCAATATACGCTCAGAGCATGCGATCATTAAGCAAAAGCAAACGGACTTTTGAAAAAAAAAAAAAAAAAAAAGGTCTAATGCGGAAGTTACGAACTCTCTTCCCCTTCACCTTACGAAGGACAGATACCTTTAAAGCTCCAGCCAATCCAGGGCTTTAAAGGTATCACGTAATTAGGCGCCCCGGGAGTACGGCCTGCCACCGGGTTCTTGTCGGCCGCATTGCTCGAAATGAAATGACCGCAAAATCTAGTCCGATATGTCTACCGAAAGGACTCCCAAGGTGAGCACACGCATTCACAGAAACCGCAGTTCCTTCGAGTTTGGTTTGCGTGCACGTGCGTTGGCACTTGAAGTGTTGTCGGTTCGAGCTAGATTTTGTCGTCCTCTCGTTTCAAACAATTTTGACACTCGCGTGCTCAGAGTCGAGCATTTTGAGCGTATCTATGACACGGCGTCCTCACATGTTCACATGGCTGTATATGCCTGCGTCGAGCCGTGACTCGGGCTCGCAGTCGACGTTGCGAGCCCCAGTATTTCGTGTGGGTTCTAGCATATGAATGCGCTCTTGCGATGAAATGGAGCATGAAGGTCACTCGATCGGGGGAAGTAGAGATGCTCGTGATATTGGCTGGTTCTCGAAGTCAACGGCAAAGGCGGATGGAATAAAGCGTGGTTGCCGCCACTGTCGTCGCAGATACTCTACGAGAGGAATACGCCTCACTCCGGGACAATGCAAATTACCTTGGCACGGACAGGTTTTGCGTAGTTCGAACATCGAACGGCTGGATGTTCCGCAGCCTCGGTTTTTTTTCCCCCTTTTAATTGCAAGGGGTGAATGCCCTTCCATACTGAAGTTACATGAACCCTTGTACTCAGCTTCCCTTCTTTCAAACAACCTCAACCACTAATATGCCTCTTTCCCACCCCAACAGACGACAGCGTTTTTGAGCGCGCCGGGAGGGGAAAAATACGACTGCGACGTCAGCGTTTAGTTGTTTTCACTGGTTGAAGACAAGCCTCCGCCGAACGCTGACGCTCCTGTCCAATCTGTGCCCAGCGTTTGCCCCGTTAGATGGTGTCACGCTCCAAAATGGCGTCGTTTGTCAGCAGCGGAAAGAGGGAGAAAAGGGTATCGCCCCATGGAGAGGATGAACCGGCCTGTGGAAAAAAGGTTCGCGTCACTTTTCTGTACGCAGGCGCGGGGTCGGCTATTGGCGTCTGTCGTCTTCCCGAGTGCCAGTCGAGACGGCCGTCTCGCCTGCCTCGGCGAACCCGGTGTTTCGGTGTGCCGGCGGCAACCTTCTCCCTCGGCGCCGCACGATTGCGCGACACCGACGGCAGCGCGATGTGCGTGCCTACTCGGATGCAAGACTAATGAAAAGGAGCGGAGTGGAATGTACTATCCCTAGTAAAGTATTTGCTTGTCGTTTCGGTGGCGTTGGATCCGTCGCTAGAAGCCTGGTGAAACGCACGGCTTCAGAGGTCGAGAAGAAGGCGGGAGGACAAACAAACGGGATGATTTGATGTATAAACGCAGAAACTGCAACGGCGGCCCCACCCATCACGATATTCTCCACATCAACGGACTGCTCTTTATCATCCAGTTAGCGCGAAAAGACAATGGCATAAATTAGTAACCACGCGGGTTTTCGCTAAACCAACGCGGTCCCTCGTGCACGTGATGATACCCTCGTGAAATGTCACGAGACTCAAAATGTCATTGGCCACGACACACGTGGGTACAGCCAGGAAAAGCGGACGGCGATGTCGCGCGCACTTCAGGCGCAGGCAACTCTGGAGTTGCCGTCGACGGCGGCTCGCGTGACGTCGGTCAGCAGCTTGCTGAGCACGCGGCACTTGTACTGGAGCCTGGCGCTGTTGTGCTCCGCTCGGCGGCGTCCGTCTTCGGCCCACTGGAGAGAGCGCAGCAGCCGGGCGTTCTCCACGTACAGGTCCCGCAGCAGCGAGTCCGTCTTACTGGGGACGACGCCAGTCGGCTGGCCGGGGGGATCGCGGAGTTGGACGTGGTCGTCGACACGAAAGACGAGGTTCCAGCCGGGGTCAGTCACAGGTCATGGTCGGTCAGAGTTCACCAAGAGGACAAAGTGGGAAGGGGAGAGAGGGAGAAAGAGAGAGAGAAACGAGATGCGTTAGACACACCGAGAAAGAGGCGTAGGAGTTCAAAGACAGCACGTGATGCATTTGTGAGTTAGTAAATACAAGTATACGTAAGACAGCACAACACAATTGTGGTCGTTGACAGAATGAGAACGACCGGGAGCAGCCGAAGAACGACGGAAGGCAACCAGCGCGTGCTGGAGTCTTGGCGTTCGAAAGAGACGCCCTACTGTTCTAATTCTGTCAGCGACTTTGCGTAGGATGATCACCAGAAGAAAGACGTCGGCCGCTGTGTCAGGCAACAAAAAATATAGAGAGGAAAAAATACTATCAACGTAAAAAGATAAAACAAAAGATAAATAATCCCTGGATTAGACAGTGTGCAGTCATATACGCAGTACGATTAAATTAGTATTTTACTAATTAACATATCATTTCATTCTCGAGGCGAACTAATGAAAATATGTACGCGACTTAGATATATCCTCAGAATTAGGCATTACCTACATAGCATATTTTCGTGCGTAACAAACTGAAATCGAAGCTCACGTCAAAACTGGGATATTTTGTGTCAGTTGATTAAGCAATTAGGGTCTCCAAATCGAACCGGAGGGGGGGGGGGGTATAAGGTAAAATCGCAAGCTCGCAAAACGCGTTTGCTGTACTGACAATACGAGGCACGCCAAACAGGTCAACTACGGAACAAAGACGGCGGACAAAAGATTTCGCTAAAATATATGTAGTGAGATGTATCTTTATTAGCAGCCACCGCCTACAACGAACTGCAAATGTCCCACATACTTAAGTGCACATTAAAAAAAAAAAGATTAAACAACCGCTTGCAGAATTATTACTACCCCAGAGTAGAGATGATGGTTAAAACGGACAAGCTAGTCGTTACTAAAGACTAGGAACGCATTGTTGCGAAACCACTGATTGCGTAATGAAATGCATTTCCAAGAGGGCCATTTCGCTTTGACTTCGTTGTTGTGTGTCGCGAAGTGGCGTCACAACCTTTCTAATGTCCAGTTTCATAAGTTTAAAGGAGCGCTAGACTGGATTTCGGAAGAGTCTTTTTATGGCGGAAATTCAACCTGCGTGCTCTAAGTATCCTAGAAAACGCATCATTACAATGGTCTATGACCTTTTTATTTATTAAAACACGTCGAAATATTGCGCTACGCCCCTTTTTTTTAGATATATCCAAGGGGAAGAGCGCCTGTCACAATAATTGATCGCGTTTTTAATAAAACAACAACAACAACAACAACATGCCACAATTGTACTTTTTGGTTCTCTAGGATGTGCAGCGCGCGCAGATTAAATTTTCGCCATAAAAAGACGGTATCACAATCCACCATAGGGGTCGTCGCGACTGAATCGCAGCAATGAGAATGGCCCAGGAACCAGGGGCTAAAAGGAGCGCAGCGAAAAGGCTAGAACAATAACCAACAAATGAGTCATGAAAAACCTAGAAGACATGAGCTGAATTAAAATACGCTTAAGAGCAATAACATACTACCAAACATCAAACGAAAAAAATTACGAGACAAACAAAAATGCATCAATGTCCCCCACCCACATTGAGCGTCCAGCAGTGCGGTACGTCAACGGTTCTCTCGACCATGCGCCATACCGTTTTATCCTGCTCAGCTTGACCAAGTCTGATCTAGTCTCTTATCACGATGGCCAAATAAGCCCTCAAGAAAAGAGGAGCGGGTTACCAAGTTGCAAATAAATATAATAAAAATTAAAATTCGAATGCAAATTAATAGACTAGGGTAATCTTGGAAGACACAAAAACCGAAGCATGGCAGTAGAAGTTGAGCAACAGAGGGCAAGAGTCGTTGCTGCAACGCCCGTTCAAACTGATCTGCCATGTCCACCTGCAAAGCCTGCTTCGCACAGCGTTTGGTTGGCAACCGAATGCGTTGCGCAGCCTTGTGCGGACTTCTGCAGCCTTTTGATCAGTTACGACGACCAGACACGCTGGCGCCATCTATGAGCCAGCCTTGAACCTTCATCTAACTAGAGTGAGGGTTTTGCAGTATTCGCAAGATCAAATGCAAGTGTGCTATCTATATGAGAAATGACCGTTTATAACATTGTGAGAAAAGATTTTAAAACTTATGGTGAAAGAATGAAGCGAAAGGAAATGAGGAAGTAAACGCAAATCGCAAGGGTTCCCGGACTAGCCGATAGATGGCGCCTGTGTGCTTTCGCTTCGTAAGCGATCACAAGGTGGAATGCAACGCACTCGGTTGTAACCTAGCGCAAGCGCGTGAACAAGCTCCTTCATGGGTCAAGCGACGCTTTGCGCGTCACGCGAGAGTTCCCGTGGCGCATACTTCGCCGCGAAAGCTGCCGTCGTTTACGCGGAGGTCGGTGAAATGTTTTCGCCGGTCACTATTTCAGCAGGATTAATTTCCCTTAGTCAAACCTTAAAGGTTTCGCACGGCAACGAAAGTAAGCTAAATGCACCAACGTGGAACGACCTTATAGTGGAAAGTATGATTCCACTCATACTCATAAAAGGGGTGATTTTTTCAAAGCTGGCTCTTTGTCACCGCGAAACTCATGGAGGGGTTGAGAGCGTAACAGGGTTTGCCAGACTCAATTTAGAATAAATATATTTTTCGTTGTTTTGACCGGTGTTAAGTGCAACGAACATTGTGGTAACAAACGCCGGCAAGCATGCACTCTCTCCAGTCCCTCAGGGCGCAAACGTAATATTGTCAATGCGAAGCGGTCCTACGGCTAGTTGGGCTATAGTCGCTGAGAGGATGGGAACGACAAGGAGAAGCTTCAGCTGTGCCGCCTCCAGCGCAAGCTTTCTACCTTCGACAACGCAGAGGCGTCTCCCGCACATCACGCACGGCCGCGTAGGTAAAGCACTACGGAAGGCATGAAGCGCGTACTGGGGGCCGGGCGTTCGAAAGACACTCCCTGTCGTTGTCATTCTGTCGGCGACCATAGTTGCTTGTCCATGTTTAACGTAGTACGCCAAAACTAAAAAGCGCCGTCTACTTTTTTTGTATTGCCCGCATGTTTTTGGCATTGTACGTTAAAGATGAAAAGAAACGGCGGAAGATAGATCATGCAACGCGACAGTCTATAGGGAGGTTACGGAAAAGGTACGTCAGGTTGCGGGGGATAAAGGTTAGAGAGACCGGAATCGGGGGGTTCACGCGCTCGATAGCATCCTTCTTGCGAGACCGAAGAAGAGCGCGCAAAGCGAGAGTGCCGGCCGGTACCACCACCACAGCAAGAAGGAGACCAGTCCGAGGAGCCCGCCACCGGTACCAACCTCGGCCGCCAGGGGACCCGAGGACGTCTGGCGCTGCTTGAGCTTGGCCACTTCGTCCTTGTGCTGAAGCTCGGACTCGAGTCGCTCCATCATGTGGTCCTGCTCTGTTGGCGGTGGCGGCCGTCGTCGTAGCAGACGTCGACGGACAGCAGTGAGTGAGCAGGTCGGAGGGAAGGGGAGGGGGAACGAGCGGCACGTTAGTCGGGTAGCCTACGGGCGACACAGTTCAACACCTCCTATGGTCGGTGACAGGTGAAGAGTGCGGGCTAAGCTCCCCCCGCAAAGCCCTCCACCCTTTCCACTTTACTTTAGCAGAGCGAACGCGGGAGGGGAGGTGACGAGAGACTTGCCTTCTCTCCAGCACTCGCTCTGCCAATCTTGAAAGAGTGGAGAGCTTTGCGGAGAGAGCTTGTCGCACTCACCTATCACCGACCATATAGGGTGTCCAAAGCGGATATTCCGATGTAAAACGGGACGGAAAAATTGGCCCTACACATAGAAAGCTCAATCTGTCTCCGAATGTGCAGGTAGCGGGTGGGTCAGTTTACCGTGTGAAATTTCAAGGCGCAGTTGTCTTCCTGTAAAAAATAAGAGCTAACATGCTTGCAAAAGTGAAGGTTGGGCGCGTTCGCAGACGACCGAGTTAGCGACGCTACTTACTTGTGGCGCCATCTCCCGATAGGCGTAGCGAGGAGGTGACGCGCTCTGTTGTCTACTCGCTTCGCGTATCGAGAGATGGCGCCACAAGTAAATGGCGTCGCTAACTCGGTCGTCCGCGAACGCGACCGGCCTTGACTTTGGCAAGTATGTTAGCTCTTATTTTTTACAGGAAAACAACTGCGCCTTGAAATTTCACACGGTAAAACTGACCTGCTCAGGGCATATTCGGTGAACGTTTGAGCTTTGCATTTGCGGGCGCAAATTTTTGCGCCTCGTTTTGCTGCGGAAGGTTCGCTTGCGACACTCTATGGATAACAAGACCGTGGTGCTGGGTTTCATAAAACATCTACTGGAGGACAGAGCGGGGCAAAGATTCGACACGACAGCTGCGTCAGAGTTCGGCTAGGACTAGTTTTCTCACCGATCCCCTCCTTTTCTACACATGACCAACAGGTCTACGCAGAATTAGAGATACAATAAATCTCTCCATGCATCTATCACTGATTGAACGTGCGTCCCAGCCACGTGATCACAGCCGAACTCTGACGCAAGACTCGTGTCGTATTTGTGCCCTGTGGTGGCCTCCAGGTGGTGACGTAGGACATTCAGCACTACGACCTGGTTATCTAGGAGGCGTTGCACAGCTACGGTTGCGGCGGTCAATGAAGTGAGTCGTCGGTTAAAATAAGTAGGGTCAGGGTAGGTTCAGTGTAACGCAGTTCCTAGGTATGAGCTTAATAACGTGCTATGGTACCGCGGTAATGCGGGACGCGAGATCAGGACAGTTTACTCAGCCTTTGATTGCGTAAGACTCCAATTCACGACAAAGGACATGTAAAATGAAGATGGCCGAGTCTACAGCCAAAATGCATACATTTAGAACAGGCAATGACAGACAGCGTAGCAAACCAAAGGGTCACACGCCCAATGCACGCGCGCTAGTTCTAAAGTGGCAGGAAATAGGCTTGATCGGCGTCGACATGAACCATCCTACCTTCTGCTTACTTCTTGAAAGCAGGTGATACATCAAATGTTTTCACGGTGGCCTCGCTACCAACCGACATTTAGAAAACAGTGTTCAGCTATAGCCTCCTACAAAGCCTGGCAGATCGCCACGAGAAGAAGCCGCCGAAATGGAGAAGGAGGAGCGGCCACGTGACTAGCGCTGCGTTGCGGCGAGACGCCGAAACACACTTCTCCCGAGCGAACAAGTGTGTTTCGGGTACTCACCGCTGCAAAAGCTGTGCGCTAACGTCCAGGCTCCACGAGAAATGGCTCTATGATGCTCTGTGCTACCGGACCCTCGCGCTCCAAATCTGCGACCGGGCACTCTATGGTTCCGTCGTCGAACTGCCAGGCTTAGTAAGTATAGCGAAAGCTATAATTCAACTTAAGAAAAAAAAAAAAAAACAGACAAGGGGAAGAAAGGTATAAACAACAAAGGACTAGAGACTAGAGTGACTCACTCATTCTGCGAAGCTGGTCTTCCCAGGTCTTGCGGAGCCGTTCCTGCTCGTGAAGGTGCAGCGTCTCCAGGTGGCTCTCAATGGCGGCGAGTGTCTTGCCGATCAGCTCTGCAAGCTTGTCCTGGAGGGACGACGCGTGCCCCGGCATCAGAGGCGCTGACGCCGTACCCTGGTTGCCCACGACCACTGCCCCGTCGCCGTCTCCGGCGTCCTTGGTGATAAGAGAAGCGCCGCTGCACCGCAGACAGCCCCTGAGCAGGACGCAGATGTCCTCGGTGAGCTGCGCCGTCAGGTCCTGCTGGGGCTTGCGAGCTAGGTCGTCGCGGTCTCTCCAGCTGGGCTGCAGCTTCAGGTTCCGTTCGAGGCTCGTCTGCAGCTCCCGCTCCACGTCGGTACGTACCTGCCCCAAAGCGAGATCAGGGTTGAAGGACCACTGGCTCCCAGGACTTCCCTTTGTGCTACATATTTCTATGGTTGTTAAACTACAGAATGACAACTGCTATGGTAAGAACACACAAGCCGGCGACAGTTCGTCTGCCAACCCCGACTTGTGCATTTTGTGTTTTTCTACATTTTCCTCTGGTCACTGACAGATTAAGAACGACAGGGCGTCTCTTTAAAATGCCAAGCCTCCAGCACGCGGTCGTTGGATACCGCCGCGCTTTTGCTGCGCGTGCATGAGACGCCGAAAAGTTATCGAAGTAAGATCGTTCTCATCCTGTCTGTGACTCTAACAGCCTGAACAAATAAACGAATAACTTTAAGCACTTTTTGTTTTCTAAAACACCCTAAGCGAGGATATTTGTAGACACATCTCAACGTCCAACTTTAATTGAATATTGCTACACGATCGTACCTAGGGACTGCTATGGTGACCGGCGAAGTAGCGAAACCTCACAAGCTCATCGAAAGCAACACGCGACGCGAATGACGTCCAAAAGCCCACACAAAGCACCAACCTTGCGGACAAGGTCCTGTTCCACCTGGTTACGGACTTCGGCCAACTTGGTTTCGTACATGGCCTGCAGACTCCGCTGCTCCTTCTTCACCAGAGAGTCTCCGGGAGACGCGTCACCCAGCAGGCCCCTGAGCCGCTCCACTTCTTTTCTGGTGGCCTCAAGCTCAAGACAGATGCTTCTGCGATCCATCTCCAGACCGCGAACAGCACCATCATGCGCTGACTCCTCGCTAGGCCTCTTCTCGGCCTCCCGCTCCTTGAGGCGGGACAGCTGGTCTTCGAGCGCGCGCCTCTGCTCGCCGAGCAAGCCCAGTTCCTGCTCCCTCAGGGCCAGCTGGGCTTGAGACTGCTCCCGCTGCTGGACCATCTGGTTTTGCAGTGACGTCACGTCCGCCCGGAGCCTCTCGGCCAGCACGTTGCGCATGCTCAGTTCGTCCTGCAGCTTGGCGATGGTCGACTGGGCGCCGTCGATGGAGTCCTTGTCCACCTCCGGTTGACTGCTCAGCTGCGACTCGAGCTCGTGCACGCGAGCGCGCCACCGGTCGTCGGACTCGCGCAGGGCCTGCTCGAAGCGACCGCGGAGTTGGTCCAGAACCTCGCGCTGCGCTTCTGTCAGGTCGTCCACGTCCCAGGGCAGCCTGTGCGCGTCTGCAGAAAGCAAGAAAATAAAAAACGTTCTGAACACCTATTTTTATGCTGTTAAAAGATTGGCAAAGACCTTTTTCTACAAAGCTCTATAATGCATAAAATGCTGTATTTAGGAAGCGATCTCTTCAAATTCTTTAGAAAGCATTAAATCGTCGTTTCGGAGAGTGAAGAAGAACGTACATTTCAATCAATTTCCCAGCTATATTCAGCGGAGAAATTGAATTGGGTCATAGGTGCCGTGACTCCAGGCCACGTGGCGAACATTTCGCCGCTAAACTTAGCGGGGAAACTGAATGTGTTTAAGTCGCGTGACAGGTCACGTGACGTCTATTTTCCCGCTAAATCTAGTGGGAAACCTGAATTGATGTATAGGTCAGGTTACGTCACGCCATGCGACGTCCACCTCTCGGCTAAATTTAGAGGGAAATGCACTAATAAAACGGATGGCCGGACGGACAAAACCTTGGGATTAAAGGGGTCCCGTAAAAGCATTAAAAAATTACTGGATGTTTGTCCGACGGATATTCGGGTGACAGAATGAGCAGCGTCTTTCGAGCTGCACTGGACGTTTATATATGAGCTTCTGTGAGCTCGTCCTACGTAGAAGACTATGAATAACATGACCTGTGGTCACATATAGTGACGTTCCGTCAGACGAAGTAAGATGCCGTGACGCCACGTCATATGACGCAGCTTTACGCGACGTCGCATAACGCCAGAATGTCACGTAACACCGTGATTTCCGGTGTCCCATCGTGGCGTCACCTGACGTCGCGTTAGTGTCGCGTCACGTTTTGTTACGGACGCCAAAACGCGACACTATACGTGACGTGGTCACATTGTTAGTGTCACATGATCGCCGTCACGTTGAGACGTCAGGTGACCGCCGCGTCAGGTGGCCGCCGATGAGGTGACGCGACCACCGTTCGCTAGATTTAACACTTCCGCAACGGCAAATCGAGCGGCGCAATAAGTCCGCTAAATATCGGCGGGCGTGTAAAGGTTTCTCGTGACGTTCTTTCGTAAAGTCACGTACAATTCATGTAAACCAGCCATATAACACATTCACATTCTGTGTTAAGCTCTAGCAATACACTCAGCAGTATACTTTAAAAAAAAGTTTAAAGGTGTCGAGAAAGTACCAGTACGTGGAGGGAATAGTTGCTCACCAAAGCAGCGCCGCCTTCTTTGAAACACCAATCAAGGATTAAAATACAAAGAGTATGTCAACCCGATACTGGAAACGAGTATGACCTTAGAGGCCGGACTCGATCGAGTGAATATGTTTGAAAAAGTGAAGAACTTCTCCCGGCGGCGTTCACTTTGCGCGGGGAGTATGAACAATGACTGATGTGCCTCGCGCGAAGCAAGCGTGCAGCCGGGAGAAGTTCGATGGTCGTTCACTGCGTACTGTGAACAACTAAATTTTTGCGAAGACTTTATCTGCACCACTTTCGCGAGCTGAAATATATCGCAACAAATGGGCAACAAATATACATTATCCAACGGTACCGAATACACAGCACATCACTTTAAACGGCCAAATTTTGTGGCCGCAAACTCATTCCAAACACCCCCCCCCCCCCCCCCCCCCCCCCCATTCAGGTATACCGCGAAATAGCGAGCCCGCGAAAATAAATTTGTCGTTTACGGTATTCGATTCATGGAGTTCAGCTTTCAGGGCGACACCTTAATTTACGTGCTTCCAGAAGTGAAACAAAAATTAGTAGCACGCTTGCACGAAAACAACGTGGTCAAAGAGGCGCATGCATTCTGCCTTCTGTCCAGAGACCAACCAATAAACGGAGAAGCAGAGGAACCGAGACTATACAAACGAGAGGATGAGAAACACAGGGAGGTCTCTCAGTTGCCCCGCATCCAGCGTGAGCTTCCGAGCTTCGATGATATTTCGGCCTCTCGTGAGCTTCGAGCGTGACGGCGCAGCCAAAGCACGACGGAAGGCAAGGAGCGCCTGCCGTTGTCACCCGGTCAATGACTATGGCTGGCACTACTTGTATAATGTGTAGGCTTCGATCGAATTGCATTCATACACACAGTGATACTTTGGTGTGCGCATTTAGTATGCTGGTTCTCTACTTCGGTGGAGGTGGAATACGTATCAGCGTGTAAATGTGCGCGTAAACTTTCGTAAACTCATCGAGCACGGCCACGTTCACGTGCTATCTGTGTAGACACGGGTATGTGAGCAGGGCGTTGAACCGGAGTCGAAAACCGGATCAAAACTTTTTTTTTTGAGCGAACCGGAACAAAATCAAAACCGAACATTTGATGGTGATCCCGAACAAGCACAAAAGCTCAAATTCATGAGGCGGAGTTTCTCGTCTGTCCGTCCTTTTTTTTTTTTGTCCCCTCGCTCGAAGGTTACCATGTCTAACCTTAACCAAGTCGCCTGCCTACTGGTTTTAACTTCACTTTTCTGAAGTTCCTCGTTTGGTTAAGTACACAATCACCTTTCTTCATTTTTAAACAAAACGGAAGAGTGCCCCGAGCAAACGTCTGTGGGAACAGAACGTATTGAAAGATGGAACCACAGGAAGAGCTCCAAATTTGCTCCCAGGAAAATAACAATCTTATAGTATGTTCATTTTAATAAAATGTATTATGTATTCTTTTAAATTTCGCTCACTCGCTTGCATAAGACCCTTTTCAAAAGTCCATCAAGCAACACTGGCAGTCGCCATTGCTTGGACACGAAGCGCCTGATTGAATCAGAGTCCTCCCCGAACGATGACGTCAGCCCTCGTGTCCAATACGAGCTCAGCCGAGTTCACGCTAAACGATGACGCAACCCACGTGTCCAATACGAGCTCAGCCGGGTCCCCGCCGAACGATGACGAAGCCCTCGTGCCTAATACGAGCTTGGCGTCGCCGAGTCGGCGTAAACCTCCGGCCGACGGCGCGATGAGGATAAAAATGTATCGTTTATTTGTTTCGTTACTGCTAACACCCCCTAATATAAAAAAAAAAAAAAAAAAAAAACGGCCGGGTTGGGTGTTGTGTGATTGTACCACGGTTTGTTTACCTTCGCTGGAAATGTGACTCAACAAAGTGTTAGTGCGTTCGAAGGGCCGTACATTACCACGGGCTGACATTAACCAGTGATTGCGATTAGGAAACTTGACACCGGGAAGTATTTTCCACGCTTATTTTATCAAAAGGTTCTTCATTCGCTGACAGAGCAGATAGCCCTAACCGAGGAAAAAGAGACCGCTGATATATGTTCGGGATTTATGCCACCGTATGGAGTGTTTCTGTCCGGTTCTTTACTTCGTGCAATTTCTATTTCTACTGTAAAATTGAGTTAGCACCGGCAGTAGCTCAAAGCGTCTTTTGTAGCGTGGTGTTGAGATGAACTGACAGCGCTTAAAACTGCGAAACTAACACGATCGGCCTTCATAACAATCGGTGGAATAAATATTTTTCAGCGCTGTCTATTTGCCTATCGCCTGCTATGTAATCGCTTCATTCCCCAAAACGTCCTGGAGATTTCAGAATCAATTCAGGAGTCTAATAGCGGCTGTTTCCAAGTTCCAATCATCAAAACACGTGATCAGAGCGGACGTTTTAAAGCTTCGGCTTTTTAATCTTTGCTTTCCTAAATAATTTTTAATATATGTTATCAGCGGGTGAGTACACATGCCACTTGATTTCACTCGAAGCAATATGAACTGGTCTCTCGGCTGTTCCAATTTCAACATGTCTGAACGTTCACGGCCGTAGCTGCGACCACTTCGACAATCGCTTTCCGTAATTACGCCATTAAAATATTCATAAAATTATTATAGCTGCACGCCAGCCTTATAGTTATTGTTAAATAACGTTTTCCAAGCCTTTTTTGAAAACAATCTCTTAAAAAAACTCGCTTAAGCGCGGCTTATGAGTTGTGAATGCGAAATTATGAACGTCGTTCTTCCGCCGCCTTAATTCGTCTGCGGTGTACTGGCGTGGATGAACACGTTTCGCTACTGCCGAGGTTGCGGCCGCCGACAGTATAGACCCTTTTCGCAAGGGCGCCGCCATCTTGAATTGTCGTCACTTCCAGTATGGGCGAAAACATTGTTTTGCCGTCGCCACGTCAATAGAAGCCATTTAGGACATAATCGTAACCGTCACACATTCTCGTTTTGCCTCCCCTCTATTTTTTTACTATTTGCAGGTTGAAACGTTTTCATATTTTTTCGTCGCCCATACCGGATGTGCCCACTTGGCGGTCGGGAGCGAGAGTAAGCGGAAAAGGTCTATAGATGTCTCAGGCGCCGCCATGTTCCTGCAAGCGTCTCCGTCTTTCCGCACGCTTTCCTTCCTGCCAGGCGAAGATGCAATACATGCTCAGTTGCAAACGCTCTCTATGGTTTCAGTTGTTCCGAAAAAATTGTGTTGCTTGTATGTTTAGACAGCCTTAATGCTAGTATGCCTCAACGGGTAACTTGCCTCTTAGCTGTAGATGAGAAATTTAGCCAGTACGGTACAACCGCTAACCTGGGGTCTTTAACGTCCACCACACAGTAGAGATTATAGAAACGTGTGCCAGTACGAAACTCATCCAGATCGAAACGGGCAGGGGATGGGGATCGAACCCAGGATCCCTGAAGCAATGGTCATGGTGAAAGCTAGCTGGAGTCGTTCTGTGTTTTGTCCCTTGTCCGTATCCCTGCAGTCTCGGGTTTACAACTATGCCCAGAATCCCTCTCACACATCCAAGCGCTCTAAATACGCGCTGTGTCCACGTCGTCTGCTTCAGCTATCTCGGTCTGCTTTGCGTTCGGCGATCGGCGTTCGACGTCTGCCTGCGCTTCGCGAACTTTTATTTACTGTATCTGCTGTCTGCGCGGCACTCGCTGCACCGTTAGACAGCAGCAAGGTATGTTTCGTGCGCTAACCCTTCCCTTGTATTTTCCCTAATTTGTCAATACAGGTTTTTTCTATCCCTGTTTTCAGTGCAAATAGCATATCAGTAAATAGAACATAAAGTAACAGCG